ATCAAATGTAATGGTACTCTCGATCTAACATCTCATCTCATACTCTCACTTTCAGACGTTAGAGGTTCCAATCTTGAACGTAACTTGCTTGGTGGTCTTTCAATAAATTACAGTCTGGTTACAAAATTTTGACCAAAAAAAAAAGCAGCATCTTCATCTCGTTCATCATCTCTGCTTGGTCAGCCTAAAAAAACTCAAAAAGCCATTCAACTCATTGTATAACTTTCATTTTTGGCTATTTGCTTCTCTTGTTTATTTCTTGAACCCAATTTTGTTTACCTTGTTTCTGGTGAGATAATTACATTTATATTTGTATTATCATCATCATTATGATTAATGTTTCCTTTGGGTAAATATTTAAATGTAATATTTATATCAACATTTCAATTTGCAATTCAATTTTCAGGCCTTTGTGTCTGTCTTGTTACCAGTCGTTAAAGGTTAATCTGTTAAATTGTAAACTCTTCAACAACTCCAATGATTGATATTAAACCAGTTTTTTTTATCCAAATATCTAATATTCAAATGTATAAATGGATAAATGAGTTTCAATTTCAATCAAATTGATTTTCAATTGTTCCCATTGAAAATGTACATTTTAAATAACATTTGAAATTCAATTTACATTCATTAATTTAAATATCGCTTGATTGAGTTATAATTCAATTTCGAGTCAATATTTTTACATTGTTTGAATACAATAAGGTTTCATTTGGTTCATTTGAAGATGGTTTTAATGGTAAAATTTGCTCATTTTCAATACTAAATAATTAAAAATCAGAGGAAATGTTGTTCTGTAAACGGAAATTCCTATTGTAATCAACTAACCGAGACTTTACCTGTCAATCAAATTGTCTACAAACTTGTATTCAATTGAATGTTACCTTTTTTTGGTCACTGTTTGCCTCTATTCTTGAGTCAAAATATCAATTTAAAATTGTTGCTTCAATTATAGTCACAGGTCTTTGGGTTATAATTGGATGAAGCACTAACCAGATAACTCAAGCTTCCAGTTTACAATAATGATAGTAATATGATGATGATTCTAATGATGAAGACAGGTAAGATGGATAAACAATAGCTTGTAAAGAATTGGTTTAGGTTAATGTAAAGGTAGAGAGAGGAAGAAAAAAGAAGAAGAAGAAACAAGTTAAAGTAACAAATGAAGCGAATCACAATTTTATCAAAGGTCTGATGAACCTGATTTACTGATTATTTTACACACATTTAGCCTCTCTGTTATTAAGGAGTCCAACATTGATTGTAGTCCGCATTTCCACCTTGATTTTTACAGCATTTCATTTCACTGTTTATGATGGTGATTAGGTTGAGGTTGATATTGAGATGAATGTTGATGTAATGGTGAAATGCCATTAGCCAAATGGTAAAATTGAAAGGCTGGAAACTCATCAATTGACAATCAAATTTGTTTTTCGGTTTGCTTCTGTAATGAGAAAAGATTGGGTTTAGTTAATTGTTTATTTCAAGTAAATTTAGCGATGACAATTTTTGGGTTAATCATCTTTTTTCTGGTGTATTAGCTTTCAAAACATTGTTTTACTGTATGACCTGGAAAAGGGTTTTATATGCAATTTAATATAAAAAACGAGTTAAACACAAGCAAACAATTGGATTGACTAAAAAAAGGTTGTAACAATCAGTACGATTAGATGGAGAAATACAATTTATTAATTTATCAATACAAGTTATTGCAAGGTTAAGTTGAGTAAAAAGAGTTATTTGTCTTTAGCTGGTTACATCAGCTGATGTGGAGATGATCTCACCTTTTTTTTGGGTGAACCCGAGCTAAACAATCAAAACAATTGATTAATTATTGAGAAATGATCGATCAATGATGATTACTGTTAACAATTAAAAGTACACAAGGCTGTGTGAAGGTAAAAGACAAAGGCCAAGTGTTGATCAAATTGTTACATCTTTTGTATCCAAGTGATCACAATGAGATTGGATGTTGTTGTATAATGATATCGACCCGTTGTTTTTTGGCCTTTTATCTGTAATTAGAACTGAAACAATTTATTTTATCTGCTAATGATCATAATCAGGATAACAATGAGTATGAAGATGAGCATCTTGATTCTGAGAAAGTGAATCAAGCGATTGCCGAAAGGGCGAAATGTTTACGTTTTTCATTTCGCTTTCAATAGGAAAAGGTAATTGTTGATGATTAGATTATCTTGATTATCTGTGTGATTAATGGGAAAAAGACTAATCAAGAAAATGATTGAGTTTATGGTTTTGTATTGGATTCATGAATATCACGTTGTATCTCACTTGATTCAATGATAATCTCATATTAACAGCAACAATTAAAAGATGTTTAAAAGTGAAATCTTTTTCATCTAAAGATTCTGTTAAATCACAAACATAACACTACTGCAATGATTTTGAGTATTCATTGCAATCTTGGGTTAAGTTAATCAAGGGAAAGTTAAATTCGTGATCAACATTTGATTGATTTGATAACCACAGAGTAAATCAAGGTGAATGACTGAAACAATTCTGACTACAATCAAGTAAACAAACCTAGTTTCAGTCAATTAGAAAACAAAAATTTAGTCTCATTTAGAGTTGAAATTTTCAAAATAGTTGAAACAATTTATGATTGATTCTGGTTTAATTTGTTTCAATTTGGTTTGATTTTTGTTTTGAGTTCAAATTTTTGGCTCTTAATGAATATTATTATTCAATGATTTACATAACATTTAATAACAATTATCTAATTTCTGGTTCATTGTTAAACCATCAAACACTCCTTAATCAGAATGGTTTCATTTCACCTTAAAGTCTAGTTATAAACAACCCTTAAAATTAATCAATCATCATCTGTTTAATCAAATAACTTTCTCAATAAATTCATTTCTATTCCAATTCACATTATTTCAATTCATTGTAATGTTTTCCTTTTAATTTTTGCTCTGTCTGCAAAGGCCATACAATTAGCCAACAAAGATAATCATTAGTTAATAATGATATTTAACTGATGATTACTCTTGCTTCAGGCAGATCTGTATATTAATATCAAGAAAGATAAATCAAATTTCTATTTCATAGCACATTAAAATGAAGTCTTACCTGATAGAGTAACCATTATTTGGAGGATTTTTTGGTTAAATTATTAAATGGAACAATCGACTTTGTGAATGTTAATTGCTATCAAAAAAAGGAACCAAACAAGAGGTTTAACCAGCCATGGTTGGAAAGGCTTTGGTCATTTTAAGCATTTGTTGCTCAAAAATGGTTGACCAATTATGTTGATCAATAAAATAAAACTTGCTAACTTTTCATTGAATGGACTTGATTGATGTGAAAGGAAAATGAATCTCAGAAGAGGCCTAACTTCGAAGACTGCACAACTTGCTTTCACTACAAGTTTTTAGTTCGTATCGTGGATTCTCATCCAGATCGGACAACACTATTCAGTTCAGCACTTACACAACTTTTAGATCTCAAAGAGATGAAGTAGATAGCTAAAGCTATGAACACAATTATTCGGGGCTGGAACCCTTGAGTCGCGAAGACATAAGATTGTGTTAAGATCACAAGTAAAACAATTGTAGACTCGTTTCGAGTATTAACTTAACTTGAAGTTTTTATTAAAATTGAAAAGGAATTGATTTACTTGAGAACACAGGTTAATTTTAACGTTTTTAATGAATTTGAATAGCTTACAAAAGCTTAATGTTGAAGGTGAACTTGTCAGTTTGAGAACAAATTAACAGTTAAACAAAATATCTAAAGATATCTCTATTTATGAAAAAGGGGAAACAAAAGAAATCAAATTGGAGGGAAATGAAGAAAGATATTAAAAATCTCTGTCTTTGTTTGTCGACTTTGGGTTGATGGTGCAAAGATAACAATTAATACTGATAAAGGCTATGACGCCACTTTTTTAGGTATCTTGTACCCTTAGCAATATTGTCTTGAGACAACTTTTTCACCCTTGTTTGTAACCGTAGCCTTTGTATGTGCAAAGGGATTAGCAGCTACAAGCTAAGATAGTGATTAGGAAAAGAAAGGGAAAATGTCAACTCTTTCTTTTATGCACAACTTTTGAGCTTTAAATTTTAGTCTTGTGGTGACCAGATTTATGACCATATTGCGGTCAGATTTTGAGGATTAAGAGCTCATAAGAGCTTCACCTGAAGTACACATGAAACCTATCTTGAGTAAACAAACAAAGAGCACAGAACTGTAGTGTAAGAATTGAAATTGCTAAAGCAATGAGAATACAAAAATTAAGTTTAAATATGAATTTGAAAGGTAGTTAAAACAATGAAAGAAATGAATAATTGAAAAGCTTTTAAGAGCTAAATTGAAATGAAAACCAATCCATTGAACAGTTTGAATGAGACCAATTTTCCTACCCTTCACTACCCAAGAAGTAAGACCATGAAGTCTCTTTTAAACTGGATTTATGGTGAAGGTTTGAATTAACTGGCTAATAATCGGGTCCGGAATAAAGATGGTATGAATTGGAGGATGAAGTGGAATAGGATTCTGCAGTTGAGGAATATCGATCTCTTCCAGGGGGTGATGGAACTAATTGTTCTGGTGAGTTAGGTGCATTTATGGCTTCAAATGGAGGAGGCAATTCAGCAATCATTTGCCTAATTCTTTGCAATTGTAGTTCTCTTTGAGCATTGTATGAAGCTGCAGAGGATGCTGAAGATGTTGAAGATTTAGATGATGCAGATTGTTCAGAAAGTGAAGAATTGCTGGATGATTGAGAGCTGGAAAGAGATCCTGAATCAACTGATTTATCCGATTCCTTAAGGAATGAGTAAATGGATGAGGCGGATTCTGATGAAGGTATCTCAATTCGAGGTGGAGGGAATTGAGAATTTGAAGCTCGATGAGATGATGTTGAATTAGAACGAGGTCGACTTTGCTGATTAAAATAAGATGGTTGTAGTTGAGAAGGAAGTGAATGGTTGGATCGGACAGAATGGACAGATGCCTTTGAATTGTTTGAATGGTTAGAATGCTGAGAATGTTGAGATCGGTTAGACTGATTTGATCTAACAGAAGCAGCAGAATTTGAGCGAGATAGAGGTGTCGGAGGGGTGTAATGAGGTGAAGTGGAATTTGGAGGGCTCGGAATCATTGGAGGAGGCAATTGATCAGGCTCCTCTGGTTCTAGGTCAATCAATGGAATTTCATGAGCGGCTTCGATGGCGAGTGGAAGTTGTGGTTGAGGTTGATTACAAGGTTTATTAGCTTGGTGATTAGAATTAGTTGGGACAGGAGAAGTAGAAGAAGAAGTTTGAGAACTTGTTGAGTGTTCAGAAACTCGATCACTGTCGTAATAATTTGGTTGAGGGCTATTAGCAGGGCTAACGCATCTTTGATTGAAGGTAGGAGTACCATGTCGGATGTGATAAGTCCAATCAGTTGGCCATTCAGCCAAACCTTGTCGAACTCGATTATCATAAATTTGAAATAGTCGAGCCATATGAGGGTTACCACAAGTTTGTTGGGTATTACCATAATGAATTCCACCGTGAATTCGAGCCATGTCTTCAATTGGTTCCCAGAACGCTAAATACATGTTCATAGCAGTGATTGCTTCCAAAGCAGGCGAATGAGCCTCAGGTTTGAGGACAAATTTAGGGAATAGAAGGAAGGATGAAAGTGCAATTGAAGCTGGAACTCCTCGATAAGGTGAGAAGTAGTGGGTAACATCTCTGAGTTTTGGTTTGAGATATTCAATTTCTCCTTGAGTTAAATCTAAGGATCTTAATAGATTAATCAGACCAGCGCCAATGATTGATGTTGCTGTGAGAAAGAATTCGAGGATTTGGTTTCGAACTGAATCAAAGTTCTTAGCATATTTAATGTCTCTGTGTGTGAGACCATGAAACTGTGTATCCATATGATCGATTCGGTATGGATAGGAAACAAAACTTTCGAAAACAATGTTTCTATAACCGTCGATGATCACAACCCAAACAGGACGAGGTCGCATTAGGATTTGAAGAGGTTCACCCATCATCTGAATTCTGCAATAAGCCATGTGAATGCTGTATGTTGTTGCAGGCGATGGATGAAGTCGAATAGCTTCTTGAATTAAGTTTTCAGTAGATGGTTTCAATCGAGGCATATTGATTACAGTGAGACGATTGAATTCGTGGAACTGGGCTCTAGCTTTATTTAGCCTATTTTGCTGGTATTGAACATTACCAGTTGGTGCATTTCCTTGAGTGTTTAATGAATGAAATCCTTTAAAGGATTTAGGAAATACATGACGAGCAGTTTGCATAATTTCATCTCTGAGTTCAGGAGGGATTCTTTCTAATGGATCGATTCTTACGAATGGACCGATTGCTTCTCTTTCAGATTCTGGTGCAAGATCTCTATTATATCGTGGGGTATATTTAGGAGGAAGGCCGACTGCAATTTCTAACCACTCTTTCGAGTCGTTAATAAGGTAGAAGGGAACTCGGGACCAGAATATGGTATGAGGACGTTGAGGGACAGAAGAGGGAACTCGATTGCCTACGGTTGGTTCAAAACCAACGATGTTTTGGATGAAGTTTTCATCTTCATCAAGGGGTTCGGTAGGATCTTTTACTCGCTTA